TTTTGAAATAGATGTATGGAATGTGTTACTGAATATGTTAAAGCTGTAATGAAATGCTTCTTCTAATCATGTGGTTATTAAATTAAAAAATTTTCTTTAAATAATAATTCTTCAAAACATAAAAAAGTATTTTGTATATTATTGGATTTTTCCAAGTAAAGGTGCCAGAAATTATTCTCTCTATATATCTTATTTGTCTATATATAAACATATATAGTCCTAGAAATGGATATATGTGCATATTTATACATGTAAATATAATGTGCATATATTTATATAAATGCTATATATCACTAAGGTACCAATAAATTATATCAAAATATATATATGTGTCTATACATAAAAATACCATTCAAAAGTATATATTTCTATGTATAGACATTTCGATTTGTATAAACATGATTGTTTTTAAAATTTTTAAAGAGTTCTGTATCATGTTCTACCTGAAGAACTTCCTTTAACATTGAAAGAGAGAGAGACAGAGAGAGAGAGAGCGCTCACATTATTTAATACAAGTTTACTGGCAACAAATTTTGTACAGATAGCCAAGAATCCTTCCAGTTTTTTTTTTTTTTCAAATTTCTTTGTGACACAATATTTCTCAATATGTAGCCCAGGCTGTCCTCAACTCATGCTCCTCCTGCTCAGCCTCCTAAGTACTGATTACAAGATATATCTTCATTTTTGAGCTGAGAATTCCAAATTGATAGTTTTTTTTTTCTTTCAGATATTATTTTCTGATTTGCATAGGTTTGAATAGAAGTCTGCTGCTGTCTTTGCTTTCTGTATGCTTTGCTATTTGGGGGGTGACCTTGTATTGAATTATGATGTATCTTTATGCTGTCATCTGCTTGAGTTTAGGACTATAGGACCTGTGGGTTGATGTTTCCATTACATTTGGAAAACTTTCAACATCATTATCATTTTCTATGTACCCCTCCACCCCCGTGGTCACCACCAGCAGCGGCCGCTCCTTCGTTCTCATGGGCGTTGAGGATGCTCCTCCACTCGCCCTGGGCTGAGTCCGCTCTTCTGCCTGCCCTGAGTTGAGGCCTTTTTTTTTGCCTGCCCTGGGCTGAAGCCACTCTTTTGACCGTCCTGGGCTGAGGCCACTCTTCTGCCCGCCCAGTGCTGTCTTTTGTCGTCGCTGTTTCTGCCCAGGCCCGGACCCCATGGCTGATGAGGAGACTGTGTCAGCAGAGCCGCATTCAGACACAGGAGACCAGGTTCAGTGACACAGGTCTGCTTTATTGCAGGAAGCACAAGCTTATATAGGGGTAGTGGTCCAATCACAGCACAGCAAGTAGGATACCTTATTAGCATAATAGGTTTAGGGTCCTATCATAGTATAGCAAGTAAGATACCTTATTAGCATAACAGGCCTAGCATCCTATTAGCATAACAGAATTAACGTCCTATCACAGAATAGCGGGTAGGATACCTCATTAGCATACTGGGTTTCAGATTACAGAGCCTGGATTCCTGGAAACCGCATGACCCTGACTACTGCCAATATCTAAGTGTTGCAATTTGGGATTCCAAGGGTGGTGATTAGGGAGTGGAGAGCTCTAGGCATCAGTCCCATGATCTACCAATGGAAGCAAATGTCACAAGGCATTCCTTGTGGCTCCAGCGATCAGGCCGTTGCCTCAGGCCTGCTGTATGGCTGTCATGAAGACTTTCACCCTAGGCTCAAGCCTATCTCCCACATCCCACCCTTTTTTTTTTCTTTTAAAAAGCCAATTATAGTTTAGTAAGGGAATTTGAGGGGGTCAGGTGTTGAGATGGGACAACAGCCAACTGAACTAGTCTTAACAAAATTAACAATGCAGGGTCCAAAAATTAGGAGATACCAGTAATGGCTATAGTCTCTGCTTGTGAAGTGAGATACTCAAGGTCGTCCCAGGTTACCGGGTGTGCCACTGGAGCCTGTCGCTTTCGTGGTCTGTGATGCCGGGTCGGTCTCTCGGTGGTTGAGAGGTGCGTCGCTTCCTCCAGGATCAGGACTGCCATCTCCGGGGTCGGTGGTTGTGGATGGAGGGTTTTCGTTGCAAGCAATTCTGATGTTTCGGGCTGGGATCCAAATGGGGGCTGGAACACTATCTGGTTTTTGTATCAATCTGGTTAATTTGGTATCATGACGAGTCGGCATACATCAGAAAGCATGGAGCGCGCAAAGCCGCACTTGCTCAAAGTAGCGAGGAGGTCCCTGTGCCTGGGCCTGTGGAGTTTTAAAAGTGCCACGCCCTACCAAGGAGTCAAACCCAATGTTTTGAACATTGGCATTTCTATTGATCTCTGCCTGTTGTTTGCATTCATCCTAATAAACAGCCTTCCATAAGAGAAAATCACCTGCCTCTAGACAGGCACAGGCAATATATTCCCAGTCATAGGAGGTGTTGGCCGCATGGCTGATTTTGTCTAATAGCTGACCAAACCAAGGGGAATGAATGCCATCCTCAATGGCTTCCTTATGCAGCTTTTTAAAAGTATCATGAGAATATGGATTTCAGACATTAGGGTTTTGTAGTCTCTGATTGATGGTAACCAGGAAAAACTGTGGAAAATCATCCATTGTATCCTAGGAGAGGTGCCTAGGTGGGAGGGGCTTCCAGTCCTCCTCTGGAAGGGAGGGGTAGATGGACTGGGGGAAACTTCCTTAGAGCTAGTGCAAGATGGAGGAAAGTAGCCATTGCCCTGTAATGGCAGAATGGAGGCTGCCTTAATTTTCCGTCTTTCAT